AGTCTCTCGTGGGCCTCTGGGCGCTTTAACCGATATGGGCTCCACCCGGGCTCCCAGAAAAGTGGGGGGAGGTCGGGAGCCGCGTCGGAATTCATAAATGGAAATGCGGGTGGGGTTCACGGGACTGGGCGGAGCTGGAGGGAACGCAGAGACGTTCTACCCGAGCGGCGGAGCACCCCGCCTGTGGAAAATGAGCCAGGAAACTCCCCTCGGCCTCTCGGGCCACGCCTGCCCCATTTGCTCTGCCCACCCTTCCCCCTCTTCCCCACCCCCACCCCCCAGCCCCAGCCCGTGACTCAGTATCCAAGAATCACAACCAGACGCCGCAGCCCCCTTCCCTCCCGAAAGGGTCTCTGGATCTGCTCCCGGCTGCTCAGGGGACCGAGGGAGGATTGAAAGTAGCCAAGGCCATCGTGGGCACCCCAGCCTTGACTGCCATGGAGCCGAGGACTCCGGAGCATGGTCCGGGCGCGGGCGCGCTCCGCACACCCGGGTGCACACCCTCCTGAGCCCTCTCCTCCAGCCAGCAGGGACCAGCTAGGTGACCTGCCGAGTGTCGCCTCTCAGGGATGTTGGGCCCGCCCAGACAGAGAGGGAGTGGCAGTGAGGCTACTGGAAGATTGCAGCGCCCCCCCCGCCCCCTCCCCCGAAACCCAGAGAGCCAGACATTAGGACACTAGTTCATGTGCAATCTCTCACTTCCCTCTCAGCAGCCTCCGGCTCCGGCTGGGTTTTGAGCCGCGCTGTCTTCACAAGGAAAGAAGTGGGCATCTACTCCGAGTGGGCATCGTTTGGCTCTGTCATAATCCTCAGTGATACACCTCTGTGGGCAGGCTCAAACCCATTCAGTATCTTTTGAGCACCTTCTATCTGTGCCAGGAACAGTTCTGGGCACTGGGGATTTTTACATTTTTTTCTTAACAGAAACTAGGAAGCGCCTGCCCCGATGGACCTTCTATTTCCTGAAGAAGTAGGGGAATTGTAAAGAAAGTCGCTCAAAGTCAATTTGCTAATAAGTATTCATCGTCAGGCTCAGCTCCCCGAACCAAAGCCAACTCACAGCCACCTAATCTATGCCAACTCACAGCGAGCCCTGGTGCCACAGTGGTTGCAAGCTGGGCTGCTAACTGCACAGTTGGCAGTTCAAAACCACCAGCCTCTCCTCAGGAGAAAGATGGGGCTTTCTCCTCCCGTAGAGTTTCCGGCTCAGAAACCCAGAGGGGCATTTCCCCCATCCTATAGGGTCTCTATGAGACACAGATACATGCTACCATAAGGGACTTTCTCCCCTCTCCCCCCTTCCCCATGTTCTTGAGAGAGGAAATCAAGTGGCAATGAGATGTGGGAAGGGGTGGAGAGAGGGTGTGCATGCCCCACCCATGGGCATCATGGCGGGTCTCCCAGGGGCACCCACCGCCTTAGCAAGTGTGGCCTGCTGGCCCTACCTCTTGACTAATTCATACCCTATTCCCACCCCAGATCCAGGGCTGTGCTTGGACACCATGAACTCCGCGGTCACCTTTGTTCTCCTGCTGACAGGTACTGGACCAGGGCAGGGCTGGGGGCCTCTTCCCCCTCAGACCAAATCGCATTCACAGCCATCGAATCAGTGCTGACTCAATGACTCCCCTGTGGGTTTCTGAGACGGGACCTGTTGACGGGAGTAGAAAGCCCAGTCTTTATTCCGCAGAGCTGCTGGTAGTTTCAAACTGCCGACCTTGAGGGCCACAGCCCAACATATAACCACTACACCACCAGGGTTCACAAGAGGGCGATGCCGGGGTCTACAGTGGGGAGGCTGGACTGCTCCTTGGAGACCCCAGGGGTGGGAGAGGGGCTCAGATGGCAGACCCTGTGCCCTCTAAGACCTGGCATGATCTGGGCTTTTAACGTGTGAGCACTTCCCAACTCGGAGGGGGCACTGCTGGTGTCAGTCTTTCAGGTGGCCTGGGGGCAGAAGGTGACAAGCCTGACGGCCTGCCTGTCAAACCAGAGCCTGCGGCTAGACTGCCGCCATGAGAACACCACCACCTTGCCCATGCAGTATGGGTTCAGCATGACGCGGGAGACAAAGAAGCACGTGATCTATGGCGCCATCGGGGTGCCTGAGCACTCCTACCGCGCCCGGACCAACCTCAACAGCAAGCACAACATCAAGGTCCTCTACATAAGTGGCTTCACGAGCAAGGACGAGGGCATCTACACGTGTGAGCTCCACCAGTCTGGCCAGCCCCCCCTCATCTCCAGCATGAACGTCTCAGTTCTCAAAGGTGAGGCAGGCACCCAGCGCAGGGCCCAGTCAACAGGAAGCAAGCAGGGAGGTGAGGCAGCTGGCAGTCCTGAGAGAGGAGCCCTGCTTCCTGCCCTCAGGTGCTGCCTGGTCTCCTGGGGAACCATTGCCTTCTCTGTGACAAAGGGGGTACCAAGGGAGAGGCAGAGTGAGGCTGTGGACAGACTGGTACCTGAACTCTGAGCAGGTCATTCGGCCTCTCTCTTTCTGGGAAATGAGACCAACACACCTAGCTGCTCCTCCTCTCTTTGTGACCACGCCCAGCGAGGATTTGGGAAATGATGTGGGTTCCAGGGAAGCACGGTCCTCCTGTTGAGATCTGGCCATGAAGTTCCTAATCCCAGGGCAGTGCGTCCGGCTTTGGGCCGACGCTTACCTAAGTCTTGGTCCCTCTTCTGTCCTACCCTGTCCCCTACCCCATCCTCTCTCCGCAGACAAGTTGGTCATGTGTGGGGCCGTAAGCCTGCTGACCCAGCACACCTCGTGGCTGCTGCTGCTGCTGCTCTCCCCGCCTCTCCTCCAGGCCCTGGGTTTCGTCTCACTGTGAGTGGTTGGGTCCACTGAAGATACGGAGAGCCACGAGGCCCAGTCCAGAGATCCTCGTTCTCCGAGGGGGCTGACCTCCGCCCCGAGTCCCTCACACACCTCGGGGAAGAGTGGAGGCTCCACCCGTCCTAAGGAACCCAAATGCTGCATGCCATTCCCCACCCACCCCTACTGCCGCCCACCACGGGGCCCCTTGTACACCCTCTCTGCACTCCCCTGGCCCTCCTTTGTACTCCTTGTTCCAGAGCCGCGCTGTCCCGTTTATTAGGGCTTATCCTTTCTTTCCTTCCGCAGTTTGTGAAAAGGGAGGGCTGGGTTGGAGGATGCAGGGGACAGTGGGGAGCCAGTCCCTGGGGAACCAGAGCCCGGGAAGAGACCAAGAGGAATGGGGCTGGCATGTCTGAGGGTAGCGCTGACGTGGGTGCTGAGACCAGACCTCAGCAGGCAGGGGTAGCACCTGAAGACCTCAGAGGTCAAGGCCCCACTGATAGCCAAGCTCCTGTGGCCATCACGTCAGGGGGGCACAGAACAGCACACCCCCAGCAGGAGAGTCCCCTCCTTACCACATAGACGTCCTCCAGAGGCTGAGGGCCAGGGAGCTGGAGACACCGTCCACACCAGGAGCAGTGCTGATGGTACCCAAGGAAGCCAGAAACATGAGCTCACTGGCCCTCACATCGGTGGGGCCGACTGGCCCGATGAGCACTAGAGAAGGCAGCAGAGAGCAAGCTCCTCCAGCCCCTGCCCAAGAGCTTCCATAACTCTCCACTGAAGCCAACCCGTCGTCAGTCGGGCTGGCTGGTGTCCCAGAGCCCCGCAACCTGGCCCAAGTATTTCTATAAGAGGCTTTCTTCTCCCTCCCCTATCAGTGTGAGCCCCTGCTTGCTGGTGCCTGAGCCTTGTCCCCACAGGCCTGCCTTCTCAGAGACCTTGGGCGCCTGAGGCAGGCCATGCCGTGAGACCCATGGGTGAAATGGCTTTTCCCAATGCCCAGCTCCCCACCAACAGCCCTGCCCTGCCCTGTGACCGTGTGAAGTGCCACACAGCTTCTGGCATCTCGTTGAGGAAAAACAAAACTGTACAATAAAACCATGGAAGGCTCTGGAATCAGCCTTGTGTCCTATCTCTGCGTTGCTTCTCCATCGCCCCAGGCCCACCTCCCTTTCCTGGTGTCTCCATAGGCAGGAGGTCCCACTTGCCACCTCTCCCCTTGCCTTCTCCCCAACTTTTAGTGGCACCCAGCCCCCACTTTCATCCCCCTCCACCTAGGACCCACAGCTACATGCTGGCCTTTTCAGGAAAACCGACATGTTTGCTTGGTGATGCGTCACATCTCTGCTGGCACCGCACCACACACTCAGCTGCCAGGGTTTCTCCTCCTGAGGCTCAGTACCAGGTGCTGGAGGAGGTAGGGGGTATTAGCCCCATCCCTCACCCTGCTCCCCCCAAAGTAATGAGGGACAGGGTGGTCCTGGAGTCCAGTTCCAGCCCTGAGCCAGCGTTCCGGGTTTGCTAGGACGTCAGAGGCAGTGAATGCCCAGAGGCTGACTCATTTGGTATTTAACACCAAGCAGATGATCCCTCCAGAGCATTTTTTGCTTAAAGGCCCAGATCTACATTTATGCCACTGGCTCCCCCTCTGCTTGCCACCTCGCATCTCCGCCTGTGCCTTGTTGGCAGTGCCTGTAGTAACAGTGCCCAACAGGGATGGGAACACCACCATGCCGCTGTGTCAGGCTGTCCCTGAGGGGGGCTGGTGGTCGCTCACAGGGCGCAAGGACACCCTTGACACTCGGGCCCCCACATGACCGACCTGCGTGGAGCGCTGACTACCGTGGCAAGGAAAGGCGTCTTTGTTGTCTTTTGAAGTCATTTATTTTACTTTTATTGTGAAAATAGACACATCAAAAAGACACTAATTTAGGTCATGTCCACGTGCACATTTCCGAGAGCGTGATTGCGGTCTTGCAGTTGTGAAATCTTGCTCGCGCTCTTCTGCGTGCTCCCTCCGCCTGCGGTGCACACTCACTGCCCCCGAAGGCCCTGGTCTCCTGTCCCAGTTGCTTTTGTCAGTTTGACCCCGTAATAACAGACCTTAAAAAGAGCAGAACCCTCAGATCAGATGGTCTTTACTCGTGACGCTAAACAGCTCTGTGGCTTTCGGAGACTTCAGGAACTAGTTTGGGTTGAAGGGTTAAAGGTTATCTCGGTCATAATTGCAGGGATTCATCCACTCTGGATGGGTCCAGGAAGTCTGGAATCCAGGGGGATTTGGAAGTTAGTCCTGCAAGTTTCCCTGTCTGATCAGGCTCCTTCTGTAAGATCTTTGATCCAAGGCTTCAGGGAGGAAAGCAGGCACCACTGAGCTCTGGCTCACGGCCAAGGAGCCCGTTGTTTGCGGAGGTGTGGGGCGCCCCTTCCACGCTCCCCTCCACTCGAGACTGGCCTGCTCCCTCTCTTGCTCCGGGCAAGTAGAGGCCAGTCTTTGGGCTGTGGATGTGGATGGTGGCTCGCAACTGTTTAGGCTCTCAGGCACTAAGCAAACAGGAGGTGGCATGGAAGCACTAAACAGAGTATTAGGTCAATTAATTGAAATGTCCCATGAAATCAGGACCCTAATTCTCCAAGAAACTATGGTAACTCCCATGAGGGGCCTGGTTGTGAATGAACAGCTTCAATACCTACCCTTTTTTTTTTTTTTTTGAGGGGGTGGGAGTCATTGTAAACTTATCTATCACAAAATAAAATAAAAACATATCCATCCCACAGCTTTTGCCACTCAACTTTTTACAGGTGTACAGTTACTGACAGCAAGAATTGGCTACACAGTGCTTACCCCTTAATCAGTGCAATGTTTCCATCACCTTAAACTGAAACTCAGTACTTCATAAGCAAGTACCATCCCCCCCCTTACATTTGATCCCTGTACGTCTGCCTGCTCCTGTCTTTTTGCCAGTGAAGTCCAACATCACTGTCCTTTTGCGATGGGCTTATTCACTGAGCATAATGTCCCCACGTTGCATCCCCACAGCAGCAGGTAGCAAGACTTCATTTCTCTCACTGTGCAGAAGGAGTCCGTTGTACCTGCAGGCTGCATGTTTGTATCCACGCACCTGCTGCTCGGCACTGAGGCTGGTCCCACCTCTGGCCTCCTCTAACTGCCGCCGCCATGACCGCGGGGACACACATCTCTGGACCTTGATTCTTTCACACCTGGGCTGGGAGCGTCGTGTCCGCTGGTGGTTCTGTTTGGTGGTTTCTGGTGAACCGCATGGTTTCCAACAGAGACGGCGCCATGCGGCATTCCCAACAGCCAGTGAAGTCTTGTCATTTCCTTGCACCCTGGCCGACTGCTGTGGTTTTGTTTCTTGCTTTTGTCGTAGCCCTCCGAGGGGAGTCACATGGATCTTCTTGTGGTTTCACGTCACATTGTCTGATGGCTAATGACATTGAGCCTCTTTTCCTGGGTTTGGTGGCCATTCGAATATCCTCGTTGGCCAAATTTGTATTCAAGTCCTTCGCCCATTTTATGACTGGGTGGTCTTGCTGTTGTTAAAACATTATATATTTTTGGTTACCAGATTCTTGTTGGATATAGAGCTGCTAAAGATATTTTGACTTTTCACTTTTTAACCCACAAATCAGTCTTTATTTATGAATCACTCTTGTGGAGTTACAATATTGTGGGGGTTAAAAATATTGAAAAGAGACATTTACTCTCAAAATATTTGTAATCTCAAAAAGGTTCCCCCCTTTCTGTCCCACCTTCCCTCCACCCTCCGGTATCGCCACTCACCACTGGTCCTGAAAAGATAATCTCTCCTGGATTCCCTGTGTTTCCAGTTCCTATCTGTACCAGTGTACATCCTCTGGTCTAGCCAAATTTGTAAGGTAGAATTGAGATCATGATA